ATCATTGGAGTTCCTACTGACTCTCTGCCCTCGCTGTCAAGTAGACGCGACGCTGCTACATTGAGAACATTACGCAACACAATCCGGGACAGTAGCTCGCCTCTGAATGAGTTCATCACCCCACCCCAGGATAACTGTTACAACCTCCGTCGTGAAGGTCGTTACAAGCCAATGACTAACAGTAAAACCAAGAGACATGAACTTTCCTTTATACCCAGATCTCTGAAACTACTGTATCAGGCTGACTGCTAACACGACCATGATTTACTGTATTGCTTAACTGTGTTTAACTGCTCAGTTTGTGAGCGTGTCGTAGCTGTTAGGTATAAGCGAGTTGGACATGGTTCTACATCTTTTATCTGTGCATAACATTTTAAATACGTAATTTTATAGTAACTTTAAATGTTTTTCTGGTGATTTTACAATTGTAAATGATGACGCACTTCATGTGCATGTGAATTGTCACGTACATGCAAAGTCATTATCAATAAATCTGAATCTGAATCTAATCAGTGCATGCAAGCTTGTACAGTATACAGACATATTTGTTATGAGCTAGAAAAACATTGGGTGGAAAAATTGCCATGTTCAACAAATTGTTCTGTAGGCACCTTATCATTAGGTGAAAATTGCTATGATGTGCGTAAATTAATGAGAGCAATTGGGCACATTTAAGTAATGGATGAAGAAAAGTATGGAAGATTGATACTGAGGCATGCCTTGATTATGGTAGCTAAATCATTTTAAAATAGTGTGTAATATAACTGGGCTTTAAATCATAGGGCTGCTGGGTCCATGTGGATTTTGCCTTTTATTATAAATAATGAAGTTTCTGTAATGTTGTGTGAGCACAGCTTAGCGTATGATTTTTTGCAAATTTATAAAAAGTTTAATATCTTGTGTTCAACAGCTCTGAGAAGATTAGATGGTTGTGAACATCAAACAGCAAACAGCAGCTGGAGAATACATGGAGGCTGGGTATGAATGGTGCAATAATTGTGCAATGAACCTCGGTCGATCTATGTGTACTGTGTTGAATTTAATTCTTTTCAATGCAAACCTGGGCTGAGCCATCCTGACAACCAATGATTCTATTGCTTGACATTGAAATAACTTTTTTTGCAAGAGGATAGGGTTATTGCTAGTGATTTCAGGCCTATATCATTCTATACCCCAAGCACAGAAGACATTGAATGCACAAAGGTACTAGTAGGTTGCAATCCCGAACATGTCCCCAAATAAGGTGAATGACTTCCAATGAATTACTCTCAGCCTTTGGATGTTGCATTTCCATCTGGCATGTATGCCATTTCAGCAACATGAGATATCAAAGCCAGGAGGTTGAAGTCTTATTAGTACCGCATGAGGTTGGCTTGATCAAAGAGTGACATTTTTCAAGAAGTAGTAATCTGCAGCACGCATCAGTTTGAGCCTTGAACCCTCTACATCACGCTCTAGGACACGGAGTGGTCCTTCATCTGTGTCACTGCACATTACATACCAACAGTTACGATTCTTTCATGCAGAAAAGTCAACTGAACTGAATCCCACTGTGTGCTGAGTCCTGAGGCAATGGTAATTCCAATGGGGGGGACCCTGGCCTGATTCCTAACTGCTCTGTCCTATTAAGGAGCAGACCAGGATTGATCCCAGTGGTATCTGTGTGTGCTATTATTATAGCTATTTACAGACTTGTTCATGACTGCCCACTTGAGTAACGTTAAAGTCTGAACTTTCGTTCCACACGACCCTTCATGGTAGCCCTGAAGTGCAAGTACTAAAGCCAAATGGGTGGTAGCATTACTATAATTGCAAATCCAAGCTCATGTGTAAGATGCCCTCTGGGTTATTTGATGGCAGGAACAAGACAATCCAAGCTATCCATTATCCAGGTAGATTCTTTTGTAGAACATTGAGCATTGGTACAAGATGGCCTCCATCTCAGGACAGTTGTCGCTGGAGAGTTTTAATGGGTTTTGTTTAGTGCAGCAGAGCACCTTGTCCAATTTGGA